CGATATACTTATATGTGATCATAAGTGGGCGGTGCCACGCCCATTTTCCAAAATTTTACCATAAACGTATTTCTTGGTAAAGAATTGTTGCAAGCATCAATTTTGAATTATATTTTAAGACGTTCACCAAAATATTTGGGAAAAATATTAAGATTTAAGTGAGCTGGACCGACTTGAAAATACCTCCAAAAATGGAGTGTTTTATGAATAAAAATAGTTTTGTAAAGAACTTTTTAAAATAAGTCCCCTCAGATGACAGAACAGATTAAGCTTAAAAAATCCGCATATAAATATTTTAAAATCTTTTCAACGGAATCGTAAGAATGAGATTTTTGATGCTTTTTTTTTTTTACATTTTTCAAAGATTGATTTACGAATAACTGGGCCAAAACTATTCTGATTTAGACTTGTGGGATCTCGGTAGAAAGGTATTTTCACACTGTTTTTATTTCTGTCCAAAAAAATATCATTCGTGTCGCAATTTTTTTTTTTTTTTCAAATACCAACACATCTTAATTCAACTTTGAATGACGTTCGTTCATCCTACCTTTCTCTTTCATCCTTTGAATGAGTTTATTAGCAAAGAAATAAAAAGGGTGAGAAAATACCTTTCCACCGACACCTCTTAAGTCTAAATCAGAAGAGTTTAGGCTCAGTTATTCAAGTTTTTCTTATACCAATCTTTGAAAAAAGTATCAAAAATCTCATCATTACGCTTCCGTTCAAATTTTTTTTTAATATTTTTATGCAAATTTTTTAAGCTTAAACGGTTTTGTCATTTGAGGGGATTTTTTCAAAAAAAAATTTAAGAAACTATTTTTATTCATAAAAAACTCCATTTTTGGAGGTATTTTGAAATTGGTCCAGCTCACTTAAATCTTAATATTTTTTCGAAATATTTTGGTGGACTTCTTAAAATATAATAGATTTTATAATTCCAATGGAAAAATAGTACCGATTTTTTTTTGTATGGGGAGTGATGCAGTCTAATGTACATGTGTCTGAAAATTAAATAATTCAAAGTTTCAACAAAAAAAAAAAGGAACATGAAAAAGTAACAAGTTAAAGTAAAAAGTTAAATAAATACGTTCTTCGGTTGTCGAATAATTTGACGGTAAATTGGGCACAAAATGCTTGTATTACCATTTAGATTAGTACGCCTGCTGTGTTCTGCAAAGCAATCTGTGCAAAGTTTAAAATGATTGGCCGAGCTTCTCCTNACACAAAATGCTTGTATTACCATTTAGATTAGTACGCCTGCTGTGCTCTGCAAAGCAATCTGTGCAAAGTTTAAAATGATTGGCCGAGCTTCTCCTCCGATTGGCTGGGTGTGCCTTGATGTCACACAAGCCACTCGACCACGGGTGATTTGTTATTCTGCTCTTTACTCATTTTTGTTGTTTGCGAACATTTTCAGTCGCCTTCTCAGTGAAAACAACCCGTGCGTCATCCACATCACCACAGTATTTCTGCGGCGTGGGGACACAAACAACCCCAAATCCTCATTGTACATTCATATAGAGCATTTAAATAATGAAGTATATAAACAAGTAACGGGACGCGGAGCGGCGCGCGTGCCTTAATAATGTATAAGTGAGTTTTCTTAAAAATCTTGTTGAAAGCGATGTTGAAATGTTTATAAAACCGCCTCATGTGAATGTGCTTTAATTTTAAAAATTTGGTAACGCTGCTGGGACAAAAGTACTGTAGGGAATTTTGTAGGATTTTTTTTTGGCATAGGGAAAGGTCGAGATTTTTTAGGTGATGGCAGGGATTTTCGGGAAAAAACATGTGGCAACACTGTTCATGCCAAATAAATTATGTAATGCACTTAAGTAAATACTTAGTTATTGATTTTTACTCATAAACTTTTTTTGTGAACATTTTTAATTCGATAAGGCAACTTATAATAAGGAAACCAAAATATTCTATATTTCATTGCATGTACACACATTTTATGGACGATGAATATATCAGCTCCGCAAACCAGCATCCACTCTCTCAATTCCTGGCTCGATGAAAACACCTTCTATTGCGAATCGGGAACAAAACTCATCCGGATGCAACGAAGAAGCAGCCGAGGCGTTAGTGGGTATCCACTCTGACTACCCCAGGTATGAAATGTATGTATACCCAAAATCCTTTCACTTATCATCTTAGTTATAATGTGTATCTAGTTGTACATTTTACCAATTTAGATTTAGTGCAAATTCGTGCCCCTCCATTTTAGACTCATCTATTGCGGAATATTAAATATTCATAAAAATCGCGTGGAGTGATCTTTGAGATCTCGAGTGGGTTTAAAGTCTACAACTTGAATCATATGTCCTTATAAATTAAACCCGGGCTAAATTAATTTTATTCCGGCTAATTCTAAATAATCCCGAGGAGTTTGTTTTCCGAGAACTTCGTTTCTCCCGAGAAAGAAATCCTTCAACTATGAACTCCCCGTAAGAAGAATTTTCCTGGAAAATTTTGAAAGGGGAATTGCTGTTTTATACATTTTTGACAGTTTTTTGACAGCTAAACTCCGCCATTTAGTTTGCAGATGTCACCCAAAAAAATGCATGTCTATTTCCAACGCAGGAAAGACCCAGACCCATATAGTAAAACCTCAAAATCGTTTTGCATTCTTTGCTCAAATTTCTTTGCTATGGCCATTTTAAATTTGCTATTTTGTACGAGGAATAATTTTGTAGAATATTTGAACCGTTATCTTCCACACAAAACGGTCGTTTTAACCGTTTTTTTGTAAAGTCGGAATAAAATCGCATTTTGAAGGCCCCTATAGGATTAAAATCTTCTAGAATTCACTAGGGGTCCTCTCAGACAAAATCTTTGTACAAAGAATCTGCAAGTCCACAGAAAATAAAAATCATATATCCCCTTGAAATATGGGCAATTCTCAATTAGTACGAACTTTCGCATGACTCGACAGTTTTTATTAGGACACATAATTTTCGCTGATTTATTAACCGTGCATATTTTCTAGCCAAATATGCATATAGTTTCGAAATAAAATTTGGAAATTTTTACATATAGAAGTGTGACTCTCCTGTTATTTTTTTATTTTTACGTTGCAAAAATTGGTACATTGATTGCTCTTGTTTGAGTTTATAATGGACAGGTAGTATTTGGAGAGGAGAATCGATTTCAACCCGTTAGAAGTATGTTTTTGCAATAGAAACAAAATTATTATTATTATTATTATAATTTATTTATTATAAAAATTTAAAATAAATAAAGTAAAAGCACGAGCAACGTAGGCTATCGGCTATTATTACATTATTATGGGTAATTTATGACAATAGAACCGTATTTAGTAGGATCTATGGAATTTAAAATTGGATGTCTAGTTCCTTAAAAAAATTAAACATTATATTTACATGATTATCTGCAGGATTGGATAGGAGGACGTAGGGTGAAACACTATTGAAAAACTTGTTATAGGTAGATGTTAGTCCGTGACAGTTCAGAAGGATATGTTGGATAGTGAGTGGAGAGCTGTTGCAGAAATGACAAGTGGGCTGCGATTCTCTATTGAGTATAAAGCTGTGTGTGGCGATGGTGTGCTCCAGGCGAAATCTAGTGTATATTTTGTTTGCCTTAGTGTTTGTACTGCATGGAAGTTTGAGGGGTGTTCTGTTGGGATTTACTTGCTTGTATCGGTGGTTGTATCTGGACCAGACGGCTGTCATTTCACTTTTTACCTTCCCTAGGGCGGACTTGGTCAGAAATGATCTGTGACATGGCGCAAAGGTATGAACAGGGTGTTTGTGTGCTGATTTAGCTGCACGGTCAGCGCACTCGTTTCCTTCTATGTTTGTATGTCCAGGGACCCACATGATTTTAACTCTATTGTTCATGGCGATGAGCTCTTGTTTTATTTGTATTATCATTTCATTTTTTTTATTCAGGCTTTGCGAGGCAAGGAAAACTGACTTACTGTCGGTACAAATTATGTATTTTTTCTTGGATGCCCGACATATCTTAAGTGCGGATAGGATCGCTATAGCTTCAGCGTCGAAAATAGTAGATAGTTCCGCTACCGCTCCATGAGATAATGTGTTACTCCTATCATCAACTACTGAAAATGATGTGCAAACATCGGTTTTGGATCCATCAGTGAACAGGAGGTGCCAGCCTTTATATTTGAAGGTTTGTACGGTGTCAGAGTAATGTTGGACGTAGGCGTTTGGAGTTGTGGTGTTTTTCTTAAGAAGANGGAAAGGGGCAAAGGGTTGAATGCCCCCGGGCCCGTGCTTCTTAAGGGGCCCGAAATATCAGAACCATAACTTATTATTTTTTTACAATGTAATTGCTCCTTCGTTATACGATTTTATTATAAATATTATAAATAGATTCCGATTCGTGCTGATTGTTTCTGTCTCTATAAACTAAAGGAAATGATCATATGGCCCAAAATGTGTACTCTTGCAATACGTTTTGGCTCACAGTGCTTTTATAATACCGCCGCAACTCGCTAGAAAACAATTTTCGGATAGTTTTTCTTCTTGCATCTGAAAGCTTAAGTATGTATCTCCTATTGTTTAGGAGTTATAAATGTTTCAACAGCGGACTGTTACATTAAAATTTTTGGACGTACTTTTTAAAGCTGCTTTATATTATCGAAAAAGTCTGCTTCCCTTATATAACTCAAGAACTACGTATTTATTGAACTGATTAAATGAATTTTGAGGTCAGTACTGTTACGTTACCTGCGCGATATACATAGGTGTAGATTATAATTAGGTTTTTAAATGGCTTGTAGTCTGTTTTATGCAATAAGTAGTATGAGTTCAGTAGACTTGCGATTTGACATATAATCAAAATAAAATAAGAACATGATAATTATGAATACAGATTTGAAAGTTTCTGTTGCTGTGCAGCTCTAGCTCGTTTCAGAAGTAATTTTGTTCGTAGAACTCGAGATCGACCTTGGAACTGCGCCAAGATATTGACATTTTTTGCTGTTAGTACACAAAAAACGGCTGTAATGGCCACTTTAGCACTATGCTTAAACTCTAAAAAAAAATTGTGTAGATTTCCTACCTAAAAGGTAGGTTACTGATTTCCTACCTTATTATTCGCGAAATTACATGCTCGATTATTCAACGAATAGTTTGCTTAAATTTCGGACTTTTTAGAGTGTAATATAGTTGCTTTGGTGTGCGTAAATTTACTACGAAAGAGTGTACAAGCTACAAAATACACATCTGCTGTTTGATTTCACCCGTAGAATTGTGTAAAGCCGCTAACAAATTGGATTTGTACACACGAAAATATGTAAACGAGAAAAATACATATTCATCGAGTAAATTTATCAAAAAATTTTAAGAATAAACAAAAATATACTCGATTTATAGTCGCATTTTTAAACAGCTTTTTTAGAGTGTTCCCTTCAAAATGTGCCTTCGAGTGGTGCTTTACGATTTTTCCGTCAGAAACTATGGCCATTGGAAGATGACGCAATTAGTTAGAAAGCATGTGCTTGGTTTGGAGATGTTAGATTCGAGGACACGGCAGTTTAAGTAGACGTAAATCTTGAAGGAAAAATCGTAGAGCACAGTTCGAGAGTGCATTTTGAAGGATAATAATAGTACTAGAAAAATACTCTAAATAATTCCAGTAGGTTTTTATTATTTAATCATAAAATCTTTTTCTTCGTGTATCTTCTTAATTTGCTTCTTTTGGCCACTTTGAAATAATTCAATTCTCGTGGTTTTTTTATTTATATTTTTTTTATTTTCTGAGCCTATTTGAGTTAGAAAGAATATAAATTGTAACTATGCGTTATATAGTTTACAATGTTGCTTTCAAATGAGCCCTATCTCCAACTTAATAAAAAATAAACTGAAAATTCAATTAGTAAAACACCTGGATAATTAAGAGTATAAGAAACTGCTTTATTTTATTGTGATGAAGGCTGAAAATTTTCTAAGAAATTTTTCCGTTTTTTAGCCTGGTGGATTCCGCGCCACAAAACGTTTTGATATTTTGGATTGTTACATTACATTAAAAAATACTGCCGACTTCATTTTCATATAAATAGAAAGCTAATCGCTGATATTTTTGTCGAGTCCTTTTTTATTAACTTCAAAGTAATACAAATCAGCGAAGAGAAGCAAATATATCGCAAAAAAGTCCTTAAATATAAACTACCCTTTAGTTTCATGTTGTGCTTTTTTAATTGTCATTAATTTAGAGGTGTCTCAGGATTAAGTGAATTTTCATGTTTGAGAGAAAGAGATTCGTGTTAATATTTATATTGTCTGATACCTCAGAATATGTACATATGACCCAGATATAATCAAAAATTTGCGAAACCTGAGAAAAACTTGTTCCCCTCGTTTTCGTTTTCGGCGATTTGGGCCATGTGCTTTTAAATGAATACAATCTATATTTTAATACGCTAATATAAATTTTGTCTCCGTTCGTATGGCGATTCAACCGAACCGATTTCAAAACCAAGAACACTATTGGAAAGGTTACGAGAGTTTTTATGGTTTCAAAATTGGTTTAAAATTACGGCCAAAATCGTGGTTTAAAAATTTTCGTATTTGTGTATGGTTGTTGTTGCAACCTGTTTAATTTGAGCTGTTTTCGCATTTTGCTTTACTTCGTATTTGAAATTATTAATAGTTTCTGCTGCAAAACGTTTCCAATATCAAACAGTAGGTTATCAAGGTTGAATAACTCAATATATGACAACAACAGAAATGTAAATCATTTAGACACTATAAGTGATTTTGAAGAAATTGTGGAAAGAGCTGATCTCCCTTATTATAGGTTTTTATTTAATTTTTAGCGCCGAGCTTTTAAAATCGGATTGTGCCATGAATCAATTAATATGAGTTATAATAAATTTAGTAATTGCGCAGGCCTATTGCAAAATATGTTGAAACAAATATAAATTGTGTGTACATCACTTTTATATGTAAGTGATTTGTGTTATTTATTATTACCCTCTGAAGGTATAATATTCGTTTTTGGTTTTAAAAACTATACTATAACAAGATCTAATTTTTAAAATAAAAGATTTGTTAAATCGATTTCATGAATTTTACTTAAAAAAAAAGTTGGCGATTTTTAGCGATTTTTTTTTTAATTGCGCTTTTTTTTA